GGGAACAACCATACAGCTGTAAAGTACCAAGCATAAGGAACATGGCCGGCCACCTTTTGGGCTTGCAGGTGGCCGGCCGGCCACCTCCCCTAGCCGGCCGGCTAGGGGTCAAAAAGGTCAACTTGCTTTAGTGGCCGGCCACCACAAAAAGGTGGCCTCCCAGGTCTCCTCATCACAACCCTGTGGTTCGAATTTGGAAACTCTAAAACTGGAAAGAGAACAAGCCATTTTTAAGAGGGGTTCAAAAGGTTCAATTGGATTTTCTGGCGGGCCATAAACTTTTAGGGTCCTCCCATGTGTGTACAACACAAATATGTGGTTTGGGGTTGAAGAAAGTGGCCCCAAGGTGTTCAACATTGGCTCGGAAGTGCGAAAAACGGGTGTCGGAGGGCGAAAATGGAATATAACTGGTTGCCAAGATAATTGCTAGCCTCCCACCCTCCAGTGACCTTCCTGGTGATGAAACAGAGGCACCCGCCAAAAATGAACGAAAACCGATGCAAAACGAATGATCGGGGGCCAAAACACGCAGTTCGGGGTCCCGAAAATGGGCTGTTAAGCACCGAAAGTGGCATTCGGCCACGAAGTGGGTTTGTCCGACCCCAGTGTCCCTTGAAAGGGAGTAAATAAGATGTATGCCAAAAATCAGAGCAAACGGAGATGGTTAGGCGGTCCCGAACCGAGGAACACGGCCAACGGTCCCGAAAAAACCGGAAACCGGACTCCGAAATGGGCAAAATGGCCTGCGGCCACAAAATGTAGCCCACGGCCACTGAGAGATGGTCCACGGGACCTCTCCCTTCCCTCGGGAAAAGAAACAGAGAAAACCGAGTCTGATTCGCAAACCGAGGCAAGGCACAGAAGTGGGTTCGGAAGTCCGGAGGCAGGGCTCACGGCCGCGACTCTGAAACTTCTGAACGAGCACATTATGCGATGTCACCGAGCGCTCAATCGGTGACGTCTGAGTCTTAAGGTCGGTCAAAAATTGGGTGGCTACACTTGGCTTCTGCGGCGATTCGTAACTAGAGGGGTAAGGGATGTATCAGTCTTAGTATTAGAATCCAGAAGAGATGCAGCAAGCCTTGCTTTCTTCGGGATGGTAGAACGATAAGTCGCTTGGTAATCCAATAGCTCGTGCGCAAACCTCTTCTTGTACCTCAAAACAACTTTGATGGCCTCGGTGTTCTCTCGGTTTGGCCTGCGCTGAAAACGAGAAGCCTCTGTAGAAAAGAAAGGCAACATTAGAGCAACATTCAAAATAAGGCAAATAACACAGAAACACTAGAAGAAAGGACTCAAACCTGGGTAGCCATCCTTCTGGGGCATCCATTCAAATTGGAACTCAGTCCCAACAAGAAACTCCCAATTACCATCGACTTATAAAAAATCATCGTTACGCTTGTCCAAATCAGGTAAACCAGTCACAAGATGACAATCAACTGAACGAACACGAAGGTAGTACGTGTTGTGATCCTTATTGTGTAAAAGAGTATAGCAACCCAAAATGTCCCAGATGTCCAGATTTAAACCCAACCGCCTGTTAAGAGCGGAGACACCGCAGACGACTCGGAACAGATTAACAGACACCTACATAGAGGTAAGCTGAACTTGGTGCAACCAAAGGGTCAATGGGAAACCGAACCCCTCCCTCAACAATGGCCGCAACTAGGAAGGCCACAGTACTCCTAGTGCCCATGCGCTTGGCGTCAACCTTCGCCAGCGAAAGGGTCACATCATCAGGGATACTGCAGTCTCGGCGAAACATGGTCATAGCCTCTGGGATATCAACTAATGATCGAAACTTTCCCATTAAACAAACCTAATGGGACAAAGACGAAACTCAGACTAGACAGAAAATAAAACCAAATGCCGGAGACAATGGCGTAAGGGCCAAAAAGGACGATCAAGACAGAAAAAGGCAAGAAAAGAATAATCTCAAGGGAACTTATAGAGATCGGAACAGCAGTGACAAGCAGACGGCGCTGAAACGAGAACGGCAGCGGAACGTCTGGACAGAGCACCGACGAGACCAACTCAGAGTAAAGATGGCAATTTGAACCCAGCCTGACGAGGACCCGACCCCCCGACCCCGATTAGAACGGGTTTTCCCCGAAGATTACCCCCATAGGGCCGGGGATGGTATTAAAAATTAAATCCCCGATGATTTTTGGGCCGAGGACGGTGATAAGTTCCCAACCCCGACCCGAACAGTCCCCGACAGTCCCGTATGTATATATATATATATATGTTTAAGTTTTATTATATATGTTTAGGCTATTATATCTTTTTTTTTTATCAGAAGGTTATTATATCCAATATCTAATATGTCTATTATATCTAATATCTATCAATTCTCAACTCTCTCTCTCTCTCACTCTCTCTCACTCTCTATCTCTGTCTACTCTCAAGTTCTCAACTCTCTCTCTCTCTCTCTCTCTCTCTCTCTCTCTCTCTACTCTCTATGAGAGACATGAATGAGCACTTTTAGATGAATGAGCACCTTCCAGATCGAAGCCACGACAGAGAAATCTAGAGAAAGATCGGTAACGGAGAGCTCCTTCCAGATCCAAATCGCGATGAACATTTCTGCCTTGTCTCCAGATCTACAACCACTGTTCTGAGATAATATATACACACACACAGATATATATATATATATATATATATCACTACAACAAAAATAGTCTTTAGAGACGAAAACTAATGACGAAATTTTTTTTTGTCACGAAATACGTATCTTTTAATGAGGAAAATCATATTTCGTCTCCAAATGTACCATTTTTGGAGACAAAAATAAAATTTCGTCACCAATCTAAATCATAATAAAAAAATTAGGTGACGAAATTATTTTTCGTCATTATTTATATTTTTTTTGTCACCAAATATTTTCCCGCTAATATTTTGGAAGGGTGCCAAAATTTTGAAACTTTTGGTGACGAAAAAATTTGTCACCAATTATAAAATTATTAATGACAAATATATTTTTGTCACGAATAATTTTTAATATTTTAATATCATTTAGTGACAAAACGATTTTTGTGGTCAATATTTTTATCTTTGATGAGGAAATAATTTTGTCACCAATAAATAATTTAGTCACTAAATATTTTAGAGGGAAATAAAAATGTTTTGGCGCCTCAAACACACCCAATAATTTATCGGTTCAGACCTATTTGTCACTCACACACACACACACACAGACACGACGCCGCTGCTCATTCTCCTCATCGATTCAGGCACAGATTCAGCGCCGATCGGTTCACTCTCCTCACCGCCGTCACCCTCTCCTCACCGCCGCTGATCTGTTAGCTTCTCCTCTCCTCACCGCCCCTCGCTGCTGTGCCGATCTAGCCTCTCCTTCCCTTGCCGATCTCATCTCCTCTTCTCACCGCCGGTGATCTGTTAGATAGCTTCTTGGGTTATGATAATGTTGTCACTGGTAGATCTCCTTGGAATGAAGCTGCTTTGGTTTGGGCTGATAATACCATTAAGCAAAGGTCTCAATCTACTAACCAGAATTTTAGTAATGATTTTATATGTGACATTACAAAGACTTATAGGGCGGAACTGTTTAATGGATTCGGGGTTATCCACTTTAGGTATGAGAGCTATAAGAGTTCTGTTAATGTCAAGAGGGATATTTCTGGTAGAGAAGAAATTACGCACAAGTTCAAAAACAGATCCCCCAACAATATCCCAAAATGTGTGATAGAAAAAAGCTTGGAAACCATCTCTCCCAGGAGCTTTGAAAGCTTGAATGTTCTTGACAGCTTTCCAAACTTCCTCAGGAGTGATGTTTCTAACAAGGTCAAGGTTATCCTCAGTAGTGAGATGCCTAGACAAATTATTCCAATGAGAAAAAGCAGTAGTAGGTGTATAAGAGAAAAGGTTCTTAAAGTACTCATTCACCAGGGCTTTCAACTCAGTAGAATTATCTACCTAAACCCCATCATTATTTTTGAGCACCTCAATCTTAGATTTTCTTCTTCTGATAATGGTGGAGAGATGAAAAAATTTCGTGTTCCTCTCTGCCTGTGTGATCCAGTTAGAACGGGACTTTTGAAACCACAACAACTCCTCTTGGTAAAGGACTTCATTGAATTGCTCAATAAGTTGGTTTTCAAGGCTGTGGAGGTTATGGGAGTAATGAACAGCTTGAGCAGATTGTATGCCATTTATACGTCCTAGGAGCCACCTTTTTTTCCTAAAAATATTGCCAAACACATTTCTATTCCAATCTGTGGCCGAAAGGGCCAAGGAGTGAAGATTATCTAAAAGATGATATGGGTTAGTAGGCAACCACTGCTCCTCAACAAGTTTACGAAAACCGGTATGAGTAACCTAAGCAACTTGAAATTTAAAAGATTTAACAGGAGAAGGAGTTATAGATTTACCTTGAGTGAAGGCCATAAGTGGTGAATGATCCGAATAGGTGCGTGGAAGATTGCGAACATAGCCCTCAGGGAAGAGAGTTCGCCATTCTGTGTTACAAAGAGCTCGGTCAAGCCTGACCATGGTGTTAGCCCACCCTTTATGATTATTAGTCCAAGTAAGCTTTGGCCCCACACACCCCATATCCATAAGATTACAATCATTAATTCGTTCAGTAAATTTTTTGCTTCTCCGACGAGTTTGACTAATATTCTGGCTTTGATTTTGAGTAACTGAAAAACTATTTTTTTCCTTAGAGCTAGAATAGTCATTAAAATCACCGGCAACCAGCCATGGTTCTTGGGTGTTTTGGGCTACAGATTCAAGCCCTCCTCGTGTGCTGCTATTTCTTCTTTTTCAAATTTATTTTCTCGTTTCCTTTTACTTTGGTATGCTCTTTTTGCTTCCATACTTAATTTTGTCTTTACCCATACTTAAGGACGATCTCCCTTTTCTCTGTATTATAGTATTAGTATCCTTTATTAGTTAAAGTTTCAATTCTCCAATTTAGAATTTGCGTTCTAGGATTTAAAAGAACAGAAGGAAAGCAAATGGGAAGAAAGAATGATAGTGCTTAGAGTCACAATTAATACATAGTAAACAATTCATATTGAGATATCTAAAATTTCAGTTATGTTAAAGAAGTTTAGAGACCTAAAATGATACAAACTTGCATCTTACAGAATCATCATTGGAAATTTCTTCATAATAAATGTCTTCATCTTCCATAACTGGCTCTGTAAATTCCCTGATAACAGATGCAACTTCAGACGTAACACCAACTTGATCAAGAGGCGAACCCATTTGAGAAACCAGGTTCCGCAAAACATCAAAATGGCGGAGAAGAAGAATTGCTGGTGAGTATCTGTAACAAGATTAAAATGTAAGGAACAAGCAGCAACAACCTAATTAAGTGCAATTAATTATAACACTTACATCCCTTGAGGTTTGGAGAAAATATAGTAAACTCCATAATTTTGACATGATTACATTAGGCTCCCTTAACGTTTTAATCCACATACTACTTAGCCTCCTTTTCATCAATAATTCTTTAGTTATATGGATGGAAAAACAATGATGTCATATCATTTACATTGAAATGTAATTATTTTTTCTTGTTTATTATTGTGATTTCACATATTTGCATCAATTTCAGTTCCTTTAGCATTACTAAAAGGGAAGTCAATGCACATATGCCAAAACTATAGGGCTATTTGTATTTTCTCCATAACTCAGTGGAGGCAAGTGTAATTTACCCAATTTAATAAGTAAAATAAATTTGTAAATATAAAGATTTTTGAAATATTAGTAAAATGAAACACGTTCACAAAAACAAACTTTATCACTGGATTTCTCATATGGTCCAAGCCCAAAAGATCTTCTCCACAATATGATTATTCTGAGCCACACTGGAGTATAATGGATTGCTGCCTAGAATGATTTTAAGCATTATACAAAATTTAAAAAGAAAAAGAGGAAGAAGAAAAAAAAAAAAAAAAGGGGGTTGTTTGGAATTACTTAATGATCATCCCCACCTAAACAAGGACATGAATTTGGGAAAACTCTTTTATTCATTTATTTTCAGAGAAGATTTATTGGGAGAAACTTTTGAATTGTTGGATAAAAAAACAGCACCACGTTTTTCTCCAATTCTAGGTCTGAATGGTGACAAGCAATGGTCAAATAATATTAGGAAAATCATAAAAACAGCAGAATAGGAGAAATTATAAAGTAATTACGCTCCTCAACATAGAATTTAGATGACTTGAAGCATTTAAAATAAACAATGAATGAAATGCAAAATACCATGCAAGATGGTTCATAACTGTATATACCCACTGCTTGCTTGCACAGAGACTTCAATGTATTTAAGAATACAAAAAAAAAAAGAATTCTTCAAATGTTATTGTTGGAAGGAGAAAAGGGGTGAGTCTCCATCTACATTTTCAGTGGGAAAAAATAAACCAGTATAACAAAAATTATTAAAGGTTCAATCACCTATGTCTTTTCCATATTCCTAATTTTTGGGGATGGGCAAAGAAGGGGGAAAGTTTGATGCCATTTAGATTATTTAGCAAGAATCTACAATCAATGATTTGAAAGTACTACCAGATTATGAAGACTACAGCACATAAGTTACAGAAAAGCTTGCACATATAATATTCAATAGCTCATCATGCCAAATACCTGCGAGCTGTTTTGAAAGCTTCTGCTAATGCAACAGATGTCTTTCTTTCAGAGGATCCCACTAGATTATGACAACTATATTCTACTACATGAAGGCCCAATCGGCTAGCAATATATTTAACCACAGTCCTTTTGCCACACCCTGCAGCAACTACTGGATCAGCACTCACCGACAAATATATCTACAATTATAGTAAAGTAAAAATAAATAAATAAATAAAAACAAGGCGAGAACAATCAGATACTTCAATTGTTTAACTTGTAAGCATTTCAGAAATAGTCAATATATCCATTTAAAAAACTTTTTCACAAATCCAATATTGAGGATATTAAACCAGTTGAAGTCTAAATGATGCTTTGGAAACATAGCAGCCCTGTCCATCAGTGTTTTCTTAACAAATCATTTGACACTGCCATGTGAATTACAATAGATAGTAGTGATATTGTATCCTCAATCAACAATATAATCAGCAAACTCCTGAAAAAAAAAATATTTTAATCAACAAATCACAAATCGCAAAGACACGCACCAGGCAAACCATTTAACAGAACAGCAACTCTAAACTTTGATGAAAGTGCTGATGGGCATAAAGGTGGTGTAAGTATTGAGGCCAAAATCTTGACTGTGTCCCGTTGTAAAGGCACAAAATCTTTTGACTTAGAAATTAACAGATCTGGAGGAACAGCAGAAGGAACACTCCCTCCAAGCACAAGTGCTGTTTGCATCCGATTGACTCTAAGAACTGGTTCATCAGACGGCTCCATAGCCATGACCTGAGGACATGTACCACTTCCTGATGAGAATCTGTCATGTATGATATTCCTTGTGAGCCAACTTTTAGGGTCCTCCCATGTGTGTACATCACAAGTATGTGGTTCAAAGTTCAAGAAAGTGGCCCCAAGGTGTTCAACATTAGCCCGAAAGGAGGGGTTCAAAAGGGTTAGGTGGAATTACTGGCCGGCCACCAACTTTTAGGGTCCTCCCATGTGTGTACATCACAAGTATGTGGTTCAAAGTTCAAGAAAGTGGCCCCAAGGTGTTCAACATTAGCCCGGAAGTGTGAAAAACAGGCATCGGAGGGCGTCGGGGGATATATAACTGGTTTCTGCAACAATTATTGGCCTCCCACCCTTCTACGGCCTTCCCAGTGATAAAACAGAAGTACCTGCCAAAAATGAACGAAAACCGTTGCAAAACGAATGTTCGGGGGCCAAAACGCGCAGTTCAGGGTCCCGAAAATGGGCTGTTAAGCACCGAAAGTGGCATTCAGCCACGAAGTGGGTTTCTCAGACCCCAGTGTCCCTCAAAAGGGAGTAGAAAGGAAGTATGCCAAAAATCAGAACAAACGGAGATGGTTAAGCGGTCCCGAACCGAGGCACACGGCCTGACAGCTCCGAAAACCGGGAACCGGGCTCCGAAATGGGCAAAATGGCCTACGGCCACCAAATGTAGCCCACGGCCACTGAGAGATGGTCTACGGGACCTCTCCCTCCCCTCAGGAAAAGAAACAAAGAAAACTGAGCCTGGTTCGCAAACCGTGGCAAAGCACAAAAGAGGGTTCGGAAGTCCGGAGGCAGGGCTCACGGCCGAGTCTTAAGGTCGGTCAAAAATGGGGTGTCTACAGTTATATCATGGCAAGAAAACCCTAAAAACACATTGAAATGATAGCTCGCAAGCTTAGGCATTAAGGCATACGCAATGACCCATGTTTAAGACGTAAAGAGCAAACCCTCCAACGCATTGAAAGAGTGACAAATGCGAGTGTATGACCACACTACATGAACTGAAATCACATTTCAAATGATGCCAAATCATGAAAATAGTCAAAGTAATGCATGCTAGTGGACTTGACACACAAAGCTAACAAGCTAGAATGCACTATAGCTATACAAAGCAAGGAATGCATGACCAAAACAACATAAATCAGAGCTAGAGCATGCTAAAACATGGAGAAAATCATCTTGAAGTTAAGCCAAAATCATGCTAGAATGATGGTCTAAAGCATAGTACACATTAGGCTATTGAATGGAAATGCACTACAAGTGCAAGGAGCATGCAAAGGGCTATTAAACCAAACCTTAATAGAGGTATAACATGGCAAAAAAACACAAAGAGCATGCTGAGATAGACTCAAAATAAACTAGACTGACATGCTACTTCATGAAGCATACAAGACTAGTTTATGAGGATTACACTACAAGTGTATTAAGCATGCATGAGGTGACAAAACCAAGTGAAAACAGTGGTATGCCATGCTGAAATAACCCCCAAATACAAGCTAAGATGGAGCCAATATAAGCTTAACAAACATGCTCAAACATGAGGCATATGAAGCAAGTATTCAAGACATAAGGAGAGGGGATGACCCTCTCCTATTTGGGACCTCAAAACACCATTTCCACCACTAAAATCCCTCTGAGTTTCAGTGGTGAGAAGGCCAAAACAAGGTGGTCCCAATAGCTTAGAAGATGACAGAAGAACAAGACCAAACAAGGCCTAAGAGGGGGTAGACTACCCCCAACACAAAAGTGACCTTATACAAACATTTTAAGGACCAAAAATCAGAACTTTTTGCAGTAGAAAGTTAAGCTTAAATCAGCATGCAAATAGGTCCAAAAGCTTAAGCAAAACAAGGGTTTAAAATGCTAGTTTCTCACCCTTGAAGAACACCTTCAAAGCTGCAACTCCAGCACACTTTTTGAACCAAAACCAGTCCAAAAACTTCAAAAACAACTTCAAGGGACCTCAACTCCAAGAGTATGGTGTTTGAGTGTGTGTTTGTGTGCAAAAGTGTGATAAAATGACACTTTTAGGCACAAAACAAGAGAGTAATGGTGATGTATAGATATAGATGATATGTATAGCTCAAGTAAGATTTTCTGAACCTTGAGAAGGGAGGGGGAGGTTCTCTCTTATAAAGAACAAAGAACAAGCTTGTTGGACAAGCTCTGGCCTCAAAGCCATCCCTCCATACACGTGTATGGAGGATGGCTTCTGTGCCTTCCAGCTGACACAGCTGTACTAAAAATATCTCCAAAAAGGTGATGAAAAGCAGGAGTGGTCGGCCAGCTACTTGAAGTGGTCGGCCGACCACCACAAGTGGTCTCCCAAGACAAAAAATGGTCGGCCATGGGGGGAGAAGGTCAGCAGCTGTAGACGTCCCCGAACGCCCCGGGAGGGTGAGTCCCGTTCTGTTCATTTTTGGGGTCACTACAGCTCGGACTCGATTTGTGTCACGGTTCTTAATCTAAACCAAAGAGTCCAAATCCGGCAAATCATTTTGAGAAACAGATTTTTGAAAAGAAGTGCCAAACATGGACTGCTTTGCTAGATACAGAGTCGCCACCTAAATATTTTTTACGGGGGAATTTAGGAAACCTTGACTCGGTGCCGAAGGCCACATGTCCGTCATCACCAGAGTTGTCTTGGCTCGGGAGCTTGGGTACGATCGGGGAAGGTCAGCTATGAGCACCCCCTTTCGCCCGATCCGAAGATCGGCCTCTACTAATCGTGATATCTGTTTTTGAAAACTTTATGTGTTCTTATTCCGTTTATTAGCCTAGAATTACTATATTATGCGCACAGCAAACAAGTATAGACTAGATTGCCTAATTTGGAAACAAGCATTGCATATCCGTTTGTTTTGAAAAGCGCTTTGGAATTTGCTACTCGCAAGTAGGCTAAAACACGGATTTCAACGAGTTTTTCCAACTCAAACAATCCAACCTTCACCCACAGGCGTTCGAGCAGTTATATCACATAAGCAGCTTCCCCAATAATGTCGGTTCAGCCACCACTTGAAGTTGCTGAGAGAGAAAGCCGAAACAACTAAGTTACAGAGGCGACACTTGCGGCGGCCAAGTTGCGGAGGTACTTTTTCTTAGTGCCGCCATTCCAAGTATTGTTGGTTCCGCCGCCATCTACAGTTGTTGAGGGAATGAGAGACCCGAAGCAACTAAGTTGTAGAGGCATTACTAGCAACGCCCAAGTTGCAGAGGCACTTTGTCGGCACCGCGGGAAATGACTACTGCAGCAACTATAGCCACTGCAACCAACTTGTGGAGGGAATATCGAAAGAGTTGGCCTGGAGCCTTTGGGATACAAATGCAGTTAGCATGATGTACCGAGCCCGGTGCATGCAAAACAAATGTATGGATGCACGCATGCATAGCATAAGGCATGCTAATTTAAATATGCGCTAGTCTACCATCATAAGCGGGTAAATAAAAGGGAAGAAAGACGTGAGGTTGGAAGACATACACACACTCACGCACACTTATTATAGATTTGCCCTCATTCGGAGGGACCAAATAAATAATACAAATTAATTAACTACGCAAGCTAATTAAATATTACAAATTACCTAATTAGCTAACAAACTAAGCTAGGAAAAGCAGTAAACTGCCTCGAGAAGAGGGCCAGATGCAGCGCGTGCTCGGGTCTTGCTCGGAAGTGCACCGCCATGCATAGTCTGCCTCTGTTTTCTCTGCTCTGCCTCTCTGAAGACTACCAAAGTCTCAAGGATGTTTCTCTGGATACTGGGAATCATCACCGGCTGAGTAGAATTACCACCGGCAGTGGTATGTGGTCACCGGCACAAAATGAAGCTATCGGCAGAAGAATAATTGCCGGTCGACGATGTACGCTGCTGGTCGGCAAAGAATGTCTGCAGAACCTGCAACTCACAGCAGCAGAGGACAGAACTTGCATGGCAATACAATTCAAGCAATCTATGCACTAATCATGCCCCCTATCATGTTTGTGACTCAAAGGGGCATGTGTCTCGATTCTCGGACCGCCAATCACGCATTCCCATGCATGACGGCCCAAAGGATCAAGTGTGCAACTTTCATGTCAAATGAAATGCAAATCAAACAAACAAACCAAGGCCCAATTCCTATCACCAAGTCAAGGAACAAGGCATGCATGCAAGATGCAATGCAACCTAGGTATGCAAGCTAAGAATGCAACATGGCATGGCAAGACAATTATGTAAGCATACAAGCAAACATGAGGCAATGCAAATTGGTGGAAAGGTGGACTTATACATGATTTAGGCAACTCTAATTAGGCCTAAAACAATGGTCAAAGTGCTATAATAAGGGACCAAATACACATGCACGCATGCACACATGCACATGTTAAGGCCTAAATGCTTAAGCATCAAAAGACAATTTCTAAGCACACTTAGAAGGGAATGATCATGGACATATGACATGCATTATAAGCCTGGAAAGCATGTAGGAAATGATGCCAAATTAACCTACCAATGCAAGCTATGCATGCAATCAAACCTAATGACCTAAAACATGACCATATGACTCATGAAGCAAATGACCAAATTGAATCAAAACAGCCCCAAATCATGCAAAAGTAAGCCTCAAGAACCACTTAGATGACACCTAAATGACCTAATCTTAGAGGCATACACAAAGGCATAAACATGAAGCATGAAACATCAATTCTTGAAACATCAAAAGGGTCATGAAATGTAAGCATATGAGCATGATAAGTGGACTGAAATAACATGGTGGATAGTCCCAAACCACTAAATCAATGCAAGAATGTCATGCTATACATTCATACACTTAAGGCCAACAAGCCGGAATGCAAAGGAGCTATACTAAGCATGCCAAATCCGACCCAAACAACTATGGACAGACCTCTAGCATGGCAAAATAAGCACACAAGCTTCACAAAACTAGACCTAAAACATGCTCGAACGAAGGCTAACAACCTAAGGCATATTAAGGCAATAACATGGCATTACATGGTAGGTATGCTAAGC